ATATCGATGAAAGCATGGGTAAATCAATTTCCTTTTTTCCTCTGTCAATACAAACAATGAGGATGTTTGTTGAGTGGCTCTATCCATATAAAGGGGAATACAATTTGCAAATAACTAAATTTTTGTATTATGACAGACAATTTGCAAAACCTAAATAAATAAATAACAAGCAATTATGGAAGACGAAACATAATTGTAGAAAAATTATTGTACTTGTATAGAAATGAATATTTCTCCAAAGAGACAGAAAACAAAATACAAAACACAAAGAGAGAAAAAAAACAATACAATTGCAGAAATCTAGATATTTAATCTTAAAACTACAATGTTAAAAAAAAAAAAAAAAAAAAAAAAGCACCAAGGATTAGCTTCATTAAGGGACAAAGCTATCAAAACCCGAACTTGGATAAGATGGGAAGATTGTCCGTTAGAAAATAGTAGCAATTAGTGATGCTTGTCTCAATCCAGTAGAACCAAGCTCGTCGCCAGTATGGATTTATATACAAAACTGTAGCCATGACTAACAACACCATGAAGTAAGCAACCCCAAAGCTCACATAGAAAATGTACATATCAATGAAGCTACTATCCTCTTCCTTGTCACTTGAAGTTCTTGGCATTGCTGAAGGTGATGCTGCTGTAGTGCAAGATTTTAGCAGTGGTGGTCCACAGAGAAAAGGATTATTCTTGTAGCTACTCTCCTCAAATGTGGCAAATTGTGCAACTCTCTCAGGTGTCTTTCCAGATAGATTATTGGGTTCCACATCGAAGACCTCTAAAGAAAGTAGTTCTGTGAGTTGAGGAGGGATTGTTCCATCCAATTTGTTGTAGAAAAGATCCAAGCTCTCTATTTCCTTCAGATTTGAAAATGTTGGTGGGATTGGTCCCATCAAACTATTGTGTGAAAGGTTCAATACCTTGATCTCAGCAAGGTTTCCAATTTCAGGAGGAATCTTGCCGGTCAAATTGTTGCACGAGAGATCAATTCCAGTAAAGTAATGGAGAATGCTTTCCTGGTAAGTTAAGACTAATTTCTTTGTCGTAAACTCCAAAGATTGTTTCAAGGACACAAAAGTATCATTATGGTTTCGAACATCCAAGTACGTATACGGATCACTGCTAGATCTTAAGCAAGGGAGAATATGACCATAAAGATGATTGTGAGAGAGATCAATTAAGCTTAATTGGTGCAACTTGCAAAAGTGAATTAGAATTTCACCTTTGAAATTGTTATGACTCAAGAGAAGAAATCTCAATTGAGATAACTCGCCAATCCATTCTGGAAAACCTCCACTTAAATAATTATGGCTAAGATCCAATGCTACCAATCCAAAGCAACCATAGAAAGTGTTTTTCAGTGATCCTTCCAATTTATTTCTGGACAAATAAACAATGCGCAGTACCTGTGATTTGAAGCCAGATGGAAGACTTCCTGAGAATTTGTTCCTTGAAAGGTTCAAAAATTCAAGAGAAGACATATTCCCCATCCATCCTGGGATCCAACCAGAAAGATAGTTGTTGCTGACATCAAACAAGCTCAAGTAAGAGGAATTGGATAAGCTGTCCGGGATACTTCCAGTAAATTGATTGCCTTCTAATTGTACCCAACTCAAGAATTTTAAGTAGTTGTCTTTAGAGAAGATGTGGCCTTCCAAGCTGTTGTTCGAAAGTATAAGAGTTTTTAATGATGAGCAACCAGTGGTTAAAAGTTCAGGTATTTTGCCACTCAAATTATTGTTGGATAAGTCTAAAGCATACAACGATCTCATGTTACCCAATGAAGAAGGAATGGTTCCACCAAATCCATTACCAGACATTGATAAAGATCCTAACCCAGGAAAATATGCTCCAATTTCTACTGGAATATGGCCTTGGATATAGTTCTTGGAGATATCTAAGAATGACAAATTCGTATGAGAATGAACTGGCAAGTGGAATGGACCTGAAAGAGAACTATTGGCTAAAGAAAGGGATTCTAGATTTGTGTTGTTCTCTAACAACCAATTTGGAAACTCTCCCTTCAGTTTGATGTTGGAAAGATCAACGAATTGTAGGTTGCGTTGGTGGTAAAGGAATTTAGGAAATTTACCAGCATATCCTTGACAGTTCCCCTTCCCCAAATTGAGGGACTTTAATTGGAACCTCGGGATCAAATTTTGAGTATCTTCTTCTGCATGTATTTTATTAAATGAACCATCCAAATCCTTGAGTTTTGAAAGGTTGTAAAATGGGCTCAGTGAGAGAGGAATTTTGACTTGATTGTGAGAGAGATCTAGTTGCTGCAGGGAGGTCAAATTTGCCAGACATGAAGGCAAGATACCTCTGAGACTATTGCTGCTAATATCTAACACTTGGAGATGCTTCAACTCACATAGGCCTCAAAAAAATAATTTAGAAAAACTTAAAACTCTTGAGTTTTTAATGGAAAAAGATAGTATCACCTAGGGATCGAAGTGTCATTGGCTCCATTAATATATTCACGTCGAAGCAAATTATATGGAAAATAATAGATAATTAAGCATGCACATTGGCAGTTTTATCAAACCGATAATTTGATGTTTAGGAAATCTATGATGATTGAAAAAATGATAAAATTGAACAAAAAAAATCTATGATGCTCACTCATACTAGTCAAGAAAAATCCACCAGCAAAGTAAGTTTTTTTTTTAATTTTTAAGAATAAAAAAATAAATAAATCCAAACAGAGTCTTAAAACAAAATTTGCATTCATAATGAACGTTGGGCTGAAAAACAAAGGCCCAAAATAGAAAATTATATGGTTTTTCATTGTAATCACTGTTCATTGTTGCAGTGTTTTTTTCCGACCAGCGCTAAAAATTGAATTTTTTTTTAATTTTCATTTTATAATAATGTTAGGTGTTAAAATTTTTAAGAAACCAACAATTAATTAGGCGTTAAAATTTTAAAGAAACCAATAATTATTTTCTATATTATTTATTTCTAAAATTTTAAAACAAAAATAAAAAATAATTAAATAAAAAATTTTTGATTAAAAAATTATAATTAATTTTTACCATAAAATAGATTATTAAACTAAAATAATTTTTTTAAATAATTTTATATATTTTATTCAGCTCACAACGTAGCCTAGTGTCAAAAATCTAGTATATTATAAACTAAAATGGTTTTTTTTAATTTTTTTTTTTTTTGGTCAGCGCTGGCCTTCTCCCCCCACCTCCCCCTTTCCCTTTTTTTTCCGTTTACTGTTCATATGAACAGTAAATGACTTCCTCCCTCTCTTTTTTTCCCCTCTCTAAACATTGAACTTTTTTTTCATCCGTTTACTGTTCATATCAACAGTAAATGCTGGCCCCTTTTTTTTTCCTAAAAATTAAACTTTTTTTTTTTAATTTTTGTTTCTTAATAATGTTGGGTGTTAAAATTTTAAAAGAACCAATAATTAATTGGGTGTTAAAATTTTTAAAAAAACTAATAATTTATTTTCTTTATTATTTATTTCTAAAATTTAAAAACACAAATAAAAAATAGTTAAATACAGTTTTTTTGATAAAAAATTATAATTATTTTTTACCATAAAACAATTATTAAATTAAAATAATTTTTTTAAATAATTTTATATATTTTATCTAATCTGCAGCAGTAGCACGGATAAAAAATCTGGTAATAATCTAGAAAAATTTTAAGAAGATGTCACTTTGACATAAAGAGATTGTCAATATTACCATGGGCTGCAGATATGGTGCCATTGAGTCCACATCCAAACAACGTTAAAGTCTTAAGAGAGGGAACTCTTCCAATGGTTTGCAAGAAGCTGATGTTGAGAGTAGAGCGTCTCAAATGCAAGACTTCCAGGTTCTTTAGATTAGGCAAGCCTACAATAATCAATCAAACAGGAAAAACTATTAACTTGGAAGCAATAATTCGGAAAATGGGTAAGGTCAATGACAGCAAAAGAAATTTATTGAAGGAGCTCCTATCAGTTTTTAATTAATTACTGTCACATCATAGCCAAGAAAAATCCATCAGTGAATCAAGAAATTCATTGAAGAAAAGAAAATAAAAAATTAAAATAAAGCATCTAAAATTAGACATTAAATAACTTGTCAAATTAGTCTTCACACTGGACTATCATATTATGGAAATAACTTGTCAAACAATAGCTTTATCTAGTTGCATCAAAAGAAAAACATGGATAATTTAAACAAAGTACCAAATCCAAACACAAATACATGTAATTTTAGCAGGCATAAAACCAATAGTGTATTGGGATTTTAAAAGGAATGAGAGTTTTTCCATAAGTAAATATAGAGTTGAATTTTTTTAATTTACCTTGAGAAGGTAGGGTGCCATCGAGAGATTGCAAAGACAGAGTTTGAAGAGAAGGCAATGCTCCAATGCTTTGAAGGGACTTTTCATCTAGATAACATAAGTCCAAAATCAACCCTTCTACTGGACTCAAATCATGCAACTCTGTTTCAATTTAAGAAACATAAAATTGAATTTTTATTAATTTAATTAAATTATTTGAAGCAAATTCATCTGAATAATTATAAAACTTAATTACCTTCTCCAAATATTGATCCATTAAAATCATTGTAACTTAGATCAAGTGTGATGAGGTTTGTGAATCCTCCTAATGATTGTAGTAATTGACCGCTTCTTCCGTACCTTGTGATATTATTTAGAAGAAGAACGCTCAAGTTGCACTGACCTACAAGTTAGATAAGAAAAGTTTTTCAAAAAAAAAAAAAAAGGAAAATAAAGAATAAGGAAGGAGTAATGTGATGATGTTAGTTAATTACCTCTTGAGCCTACAAATTTGTTAATATCGTTTCCGCTCAAATCCAGCTCCTCTAAGTTGTTTAAAGCATCCAATTCTTGATATATATCAAAACTAATTTAATTAGTTTACACCAAAATTACTTAAAATTATGTTTATTTTAGAAATTGAAAAATATATGTATCATAACATAAAATATGAGAAGATGTGTTTAACCTTTTAAATTTATTAATCCCTTTCACTCGTTATAAGCTATGTTCGGATAGTTGAGAGATGAAAGCCCTTTAAGAGACGATAGAATATTATTATCGAAGCGATTATTACCCAACCCAAGATACTTCAAATTATTCAATGTCAATAGTTTTTCACCACCTGTAAAAACAATACTATATAAGATTTCATTTACTAGATATATATAGTTTATGCGATCAATTTGAATTTTTTGAATCAAAAAACAAATAATTAATATAGTGATGAAATAACCATTTCATACCATGATAGGATTTGAAACCTTCAATTTCATTTCCTCTAAGATCCAAAACCTCCAAGTTTCTTAGCCGATTCAAATCTGTCCATGCATGTGTAGAATTAGTTATTATTATTATTATTGTGTGGGTCTTTGAGGAAAAAAATTAAATTACTCACCATGAATATTAATTGATCCTTTGAGTCCAACGTTGTTGAGATATAATGATTTCAAAGATAAAAGCCCACTTAGAGATGATATTAGGGTGCTGGTATTGTTGAAATTATTACCACCTAAATCGAGAATCTCCAAATTGTCAAGTTTCCATAGTTTTTGAAAACCTGCAGGAGAATTTTAGTTAGTAGTTTGTGTTTGAAAATGAAAACTAACTATTTGATCAATTTCAAAAATAAATTGCATTTCAATTTCTAGATATTCAAATTTCTATTGAAATTACAACAAATGCAGTTAGTTAAGAGGCAAACCTTCATTTTCAACACAACCAACTATTCCATTTCTAGACAGAGAAAGATCGTTGAGTTCTTCAAATGGAAGAAACAAAGAGGCATTTAGGTACCAATCTCCCAATTCCAAATCCCTTGCATCCAACAGATAAATGACAGTAACTCGACCTGTAGTGGCGTTGCAACTCGATGCTTTTCCAATTACAACAGTCGGCATCATTTTTCCTCCAAGAGGACAGGGACGTGCTATTCGGAAAATTAAGAGAATGTTTGAGTTGCAAGAGAGCGATTCTCTCTTCCTCCAAACAACCACGAGACAGCCATCCTTCCAAAGAAACCACCATTACTAATACCAACAACGACATTTGATGCAATAATTGGCCCATCTTAATAATATATATGTATATGTGATGATCAATTCTGTACTAGCTAGTTTGTCTATCTCTTCGCATTGGGCAGTAAGGAGGCTGTAGGCTTTTATAGGAGGACTGCCTGGTTTACGTACGCGTTGATAAAACATTGATGGCCTCGGGTGGGACCCATCTCGTGAGAAAAAAATTGAATGATTGCAAGTATTTCGGACCCATTATGGTGGAAAAAAATTTATAAAATCATTAATGAAAAATTAATTTTTTTCATTCAAATGACATGATTTTCCACACGGCAAATGATTTTCATGCTATTTGGTGTCTCTCAGCCATCAAAATCAAATAATGGCAAAATTGTCCACACGCAACTGAACTTTTTTTCAGAAACTGTGCTAGTTAGTAATAAGTTCTCGTTATTTATTCTTTACTTTGATGAGCATTGATACAAAAGTGATGATGAGATTAAAAAAATTAATACAATTAGAAGTATATTTGTAGTGCTGTTGCTGTCGCACACAATGCTTTCCCAGTTACAACGGTGGGCATCTTCTTTTGTCCAACAGGAGGACTGCCTGGTTTATGTAAAAGACATTAATGGCCTCTGGTGGGACCCATCTCGTGTAAAAGAAAAATGAATGACTGTAAGTATTCCAGTGCCTTCTTCGTGTATGACAGTCTTGTTCTTTCTGATCTTACAACATATATAACTGCTCTGTTTCTCTCTTCTTTTTTTCTTTTTTATTCTTTTTTTCCAAAGAAACTTTTGTCTATAATGCATGTCTTTTGGAGTAAATTAGAGATTAGTCCTTCTTATTTTGAAAAATAAATTAATTAATTTTTCTCATTTAAAAACTAATTATTTAGTCTTCATATTTTGAAATCTATTTATAATTTAATTTTTTCTACCTTTTTAATTTTTTTCATTAAAATGACATGATTTTCCACACGACAAACTAATAATTCTAAATTTTTTTAGACTTGTAGCTGGTCCTCACACGCCATTTTCATGCTATTTGGAGTCTCTCAGCCATCAAAATCAAATAATGGCAAAATTTTCCACACGCAAATGAACTTTTTTTCAGAAATTGTGGTAGTTAGTATTAAGTTCTGGTTCTTTTTTCAAAAAAGACTTTTACTTGATGTCAATTGACCTTTTTCTCATAAATGCATTTTTTTTTGTCAATTACTTTTAAGATTGATTTTTATGTATTTCAAATATTGTTTCAACAAATTATGTCCAAATGCTGTCTATGTAAAAAAATTCTCTAAAATATCTGTCCTTTAAAAGAATTATTCTGCACACTCTAGGTTACATTAAATCACATTTTTTCACAAAAAGAAGAATACAATTAAAAGTACATGTAATCATTGAGAATTTTTATAAATGATTAGGGAGAAATTTTATGATATTTAAGGAATAACTAATGATATGTATAGTGGTAACTCCATAAATTCATTTCATAAAGGGAGATAGACACAAAAAAAAGAGGATTACATCCGGATTCATCAAAAGTGATAAAAAGATTTTCACGTTCGTTTAATTTTTTCTCTTCTATTTCTCTTTTCTTTTTTTGTGTCTATCTTTCTATGAAGTAAGTTTATAGAGTAACTACCGCACATACCATTAATTACTTCTTGTGTATTATAAAATTTCTCTATAATCATTTATTCTTTACTTTGAGCATTGATACAAAAGTGATGATGGGTTTAAAAAAATTAATATGAAGTGTTTTTTATGAGTCATGGACCTAAAATGTAGAACATCTTCTTAAAATAAATAACATAGACTCACGTCGATTAAAAAACTAATTCCACCTAATATTATAGTTCTAAATTTTAAAAGACTAGTTGATCAAATACAACTGCCACATCATAAAAATAAAAATAAAAATTGATGGACTTTTGATAGAGGTATTTGATCTTCGAAATCAAAAAAATTGTTATATTGAGATGGAAAAAATAAAAATCTATGCTAGATTGATAAAAAGTTTTTTTAAAAAAAATTGATGTGCTAAAATTGCATTATCCCAATCATATTAAGTTTTTGTGATTTTGAGATATTACATTTTAGATAAAATATTAGAATTAAAGATGGACTTAGTCTGATTGCATTTAAACTCGTATTATACAACAAAATAATAGTAAAACTGAAAAAGAAAAATCCAAAAGAAAAGCTCACCAAGAAGTAATTGCTATTTCTATATGTATTTATTTATTTTAAAAACAATGAAATTTTGTTTCAAGATTTATGTACTTAATTTTAATTTTTTTCTTTAAGAAAAATAGAGTATTGTTCTTTTATCTATATATTGTTAATTTTTTAGGATTATGAAAGACTTCAGCGTTTAGAAATTTTTTTTCTTTTGTTTCAAAATGTCATATTTTGGAATTTGTCTACTTTATCAACCGTGATTTTTGGGTTTGTCAGTACCACAATCAAATGACATGATTTTCAACGGGGCAAACTAATAATTCTAAAAAATTTAGACTTATAGCTGGTCGTCAGACTCCATTTTCACGCTATTTGGAGTCTACTTCTCTCAGCCATCAAATCAAATAAGGGCATAAATTTCCACACGCAACTTTCATCTCTTCTCTAACCAGTAATTAAGTTCTGGTTCTTTTTTCCAAAGAAGACTTTGACTTGACGTCAACTGATCTTTTGTTCAGAAATGCTTTTTCTTTTTCTTTCTTTCTTTCTTTCTTTTTTGTATAAATTACTTTCAAATTGATTTTTATGAATTTCAAATATTATTTCATCAAATTTTATCCAAATGCTATCCATGTCAAAAAGTTCTAAGATATCTATCTTTCGAGAGAATTATTCTACACACTCTAAGTTATATTAAATCACAATTTTTCACAAAAAGAGTAATACAATTAGAATTATACCTAATCATTTATCTTTACTTTGAGCATTGATACAAAAGTGATAATGAGATTACAAAAATTAATGTAAAGTGTTTTTTACGAGATATGGACTTGAAATGTAGAACATCTTCTTAAAATAAATAACATAAACTCAAGTGGATTGAAAAATTGATTCCACCTAGTACTATGATTCTAAATTTTAAAAGACTAATTGATCAACTACAATTGTCATATCATAAAAATAAAAAGAAAAATTGATGGACTTTTGATAGAGGTATTTGATTGTCGAAATGGAAAAAACTGATATATTGAGATGAGAAAAATAAAAATCTATGCTAGATTGATAAAAAGTAAAAAAAAAAAATGATGTGCTAAAATTGCATTATCCCAATCATATTAAGTTTTTGTGATTTTGAGATATTACATTTGTAGGTAAAATATAATAACCTAAAGATGGACTTAGTCTTATTGTATTTAAACTCGTGTTATACAACAAAATCATAGTAAAATTGAAAAAGAAAAATCCAAAAGAAAAGCTCACCAAGAAGTAATTGTGATTTCTATATGTATTTATTTATTTTAAAAACAATGAAATTTTGTTTCAAGATTTATTTACATAATTTTAATTTTTTCTTTAATAAAATAGAGTATTGTTCTTTTATCTATCGTTAATTTTTCAAGATTATGAACGACTTTAGAGTTTAGAAATTTTTTTCTTTTGCTTCAAAATGTCATATTTTCGAATTTGTCTATTTTTATCAACCGTAGTGTTTGGGTTTGTCAGCACCACAATCAAATGACATGATTTTCCATACGGCAAACTAATAATTCTACGAAAATTTAGACTTATAGCTGGTCCTCATACTCCATTTTCATGCTATTTGGAGTCTACATCTCACTCTCTCAGCCATCAAATCAAATAATGGCATGATTTTCCACACACAACTTGCTTGTCCACATGCAATTTTTTGAAAAATTACTTTTTAAATTGATTTTTATGTATTTTAAATATTATTTCATCAAATTCTATCCAAATGCTAATGCTATCTATGTAAAAAATCTCTAAAATATCTATCCTTTAAAAGAATTATTCTGCACACTCTAAATTATACTAAATCACAATTTTACACCAAATATATATATATATAATTGGAATACAATTAGAAATATATCTAATCATATATTCTTTGCTTGGTGCATTGACACAAAAGTGATTATGGGATTAAAATAAATAAATTTAATATGAAGTGTTTTTTATAAGTCATCCACCTGGTATGTGGAACATCTTTTTAAAATAAATAATATAGACTCACCTCGATTAAAAAACTGATTCAACCTAGTATTATCAAATTTAAATCTTAAAAAACCTAATCTTGAAATCCAAAAAAACCCACATACACCTTGTTATTTACAAATATAAAACATATAGATAGATAGTGTCGAACACATATCTTAAATCGAATAGTTAAATTAAAGATGATTAATATATAAAATTGAGAATGAATCATCCAATCATACAATTTAAATCTTTTGAATGAAAATGAATCTCAACTATTTAACTCTATATGGTATCAAAGCCTTAAAGAAGTCTAACTGTTTAGCAAAAATCATGAAACTCAAACTACATATGATTAATATATAAAGTTGAGAAGGAGTTTATTCGTTATAAGGCTTAAGTTTTGTTTTAATGAAATTCAATCTTAATTATCTAACTCTATGGATAGATAATTCAAGGGATTAGAAAGCAAGGAAAAAAAAAAAACCTCACATGTGAGACGTATATCCACCAGATAAGCTTCTGAAGCAAATTAATATGGCCAAACCCAACATTTGGGCTTTTTTCTTCGATAGACTAGAAAGTAAAGGAAAAAAATCCTACATGTGAGATGTATATCCACCAAACAAGCTTATGGAGCAAATTAATAAGGCCTAACCCAACATTTGGGCTTTTTTGCCCCTTTTTAGGGCAGCACACACGCCTATATATATATATATATATATATATATCCAACAAATAATATTATAATTAAGCTGTTTGATATGGCCCAATCTACACTAGACATGGACCCTAAAAACCAAATAATAAATTTCATTTACTATTTTTAATATTTTAACGACCTAGCACCAAATAAGTTATTAAAAGGTGTGAAAATGGTTTTGATTTTCTTTTTTTCTTTTTTTTTTTGCTGCATTCATCTGAGAGAATTTAATCTTAAAATGTTGTTTGGTTATAAAAAATCAAAGGTTTGAAAGAAAAATACAGAAATCAAAATAAAAATTAGAATATCAAAATAACATTTTTCTTTCAATATTATCTTTGGAATAGTAATAAAGAATCCAAACAAAATTTAAAATTTTTTATATTGATTTTTAAAATACATAAAAATAATGATTAAAAAGATAATTTCATCGATTATCATGGTAGTAAAAATCATAAAAGTGATTGCGATAATGATGGCGGTTAAGTGAAAAGTTATGGTAAAATAATAATAATAACAATTTTTTTCATTTTTTTGAACTTCCACCACTAATAGTTGCTGATGGTAGTAAATGATGAGTGGTGGCAAAATAACAACAATAATAATTTATATTTAAATTCTTTTTATCATTATCGTTAATGATTGCGAGATGGTGGTGGTGGTGGTAATCATGAAAGTAGGGATACGATGATGATAAAAGTAATTTATATGCAATAAATAAATAAATAATATATCATTATTTTGAAGAAATTTTTAATTTTAATTTTTATTCCTATCTCTTTTTGTTGGAATGAAATTGTGTTTAATTTTTATTTTCAATTCTACTCTTCATTTGCATTTCTACTCTCTTTTTTTTTTAACCAAATATATATATGTATATATATGTAAAGTAGAAATAAAATTTTTATTCTTATTTTCATCATTTTATTTATTGATAATACAAACTCTTATGAATCTCTTGATAATGGTAATCGAACACTTTAGAAACATCTAAAATGTTCATGAGTTTCTTGATAATAATAATCAAATACTTTAGGAACATCTAGGATGTTTGTACTTAGAGCATTACCATGATAACCTGATCAAAGAGGTAGATACCATAGATTTTAAACCGAAACATGAAAATTGATCCGGAAAACAAAAACCCACAATTGCATAGTAACCCAACTAGTAAGCCCACTCTTAATAGAAATGATTAAGATGGCCCAGCCCACATTAGACATGGGCCAGAGAAACAAAGCAAGAAAATGCACACCCCTACCCCATTCTCTTCCTGTTATTTTCAATTTTTCGGTGACTGAAAAACCCTATACCCATCAAGAATTAAACACAAGCAAAACCCCCAATCTCAAGCTTTGAATCCTAGAGAGAATCATCAGCCAAAAAAGATTGCAGAGAGAGATGCAAGAATCACTAGAAGGAGCAGAGTATACTCTTGTTGCAAGAAAACCCAGTTTTGGACTCCCTACTGGTTGTCCAATTTGCTTGCCTGTTTACACGTACCTCAAATTAGCTAACTTACCTTTTCATTTGGCTTTCAATAACACTTTCCCTGATTCAGGTATTCTTACTTACCTATTTTTTTTAGGTTCTTAATTTCATCCAATGCTGTTCATGTTTGTAAGTTCTTGTACTGTGTTTTTGCTTCTTCTTTTTTTAGTTACTACGAGTTGGACTTTCTGGCTGTTTTCTTGTTGAAATTTTGTTGAAGTTTGCTTCTTTTGTGTGTTAATAGATTAGAATCACTAAGAAAACAAATCCCATTTCTTTAGCAAAGTTCTTTACACAGAATGAATGTTAATTTTGATCTAGGTTGTGATCGTTTTGCAGTTACTGGCTCTGTAATGGTGTTCAAATTGCATGCTTTTGTTTCCTTGAGTTATTTTAGAAATCTTAAAGTTGGTATTTTGTTGTTGAATAGGAATTTTAGTTCATTTTGGTACTTGGTGTATGGTGGGGGTGTGGAATAAATGAGGCCGAGGAGTTAAGTAATTAGTATTCAAGATTGGATTTGGATGGCCAGGACTATGTTTGATGGATATTGGTTTTTTGGTTGACTAGAAATGGCAGCCAGTTTTTAATATTCTTATTGATAGCCTTACATGAATAATGAGGGTTTTTTTCTTCACATTCTTAATTTTCTTGTATTTTTTGTGTACTGATTCTTGTGACAAAATTGAAACTTCAGTTGCTTGAATCTTCATTAAACAATAGGAGATATGATCATGTAGTTTAGGTCATTCTCATTAGCCAGTTATAGTTCCATTGAAGTGGTGTTGTCGCATGAAGAATTTGGAGACAGTCCTGCCCTTTACTATTCTTAAGGCTGTTCTCAAGACTTGATCCTATATCCTTGCGGTGGCAAGCCCAGCAGTTTTACCATTGAACCAAGCAATGGCCTATTAAAGACTATTAAGTTGTATGGAGTGCAACTGTATCTTGTTTTAAGTCATACCTAAGGCATCTCAAGTACTTTTTTTTTTTTTTTGAGATTTTATGTATTCAGAAGCCTAATTTCATTTTCCTGAGCCTTTCTCTAATCGTACTTTTGATTGTACACAGCTAAGGGCTTTCCTCCTTGGGTAACTGTGCTTTCTGATAATTTGTTTATGCTTTCACTTTTGTCTCTTATGTTGCTTCATTTATAGAATTTAGAGGTTTGCTGGGGATTCTGGAGCATAGAACTGTAGAATACTGTTTTAATTATGTATGGGTAGTGAATCTTCTCTCAAAAACTGAAAAGGTTCTTTTCTGTACTATGTGGTTTCTTGTGTTTGTATGCATGCCTTTGTTCCTGTTTCTCTATGTTACTTTCTCTCTGTGAAACTTCCAACTGTACAAAATATTTGAATCTACTTTGTAATTATTTTCATGTGTGTGAATGCTTTCTCATGTTGTTGTTTATGTGTGTTTTCTCAAATATATCATGCAAATATTAAAATTGTCTTCAAAACACTTATCTAACTTTCTATGTTAGATCAAATTCCTTACATTGAATCAGGCACTTATGTGGCCTACAATGACGAGAATGGTGGGGTTATTGAACGTTTAAAGGAAGATGGTATTGTTGATTTGGATGCTGATTTCTGCTCCCTCCCAGAATGGATATCTATGAAAGCAATGGTTAGCACCTGGCTTGCAGATGCAGTCATGTATGAACTCTGGGTGGGATCTGATGGATCCTCTGCCCGTGCAGTTTATTACTCTGATCTCCCATGGTTAATAGGAAAGGCTCTATTCATGAAACAAGTGTACATTGTTAAGCAGCGATTTGGGATAACGAAGGAAAATGCTGAACGAAAGGAAGCAGAGGTTACACTTCTATCATTGATGATCTTTTTCTCCAACTTGTTAATATGTGCACTCTCTCTCTCAAATATGCACACATGCACTAGTGCTAAAAAGCATGCACTTGTAGAATAATTTCAGCTTTTTATGTTTTGCTTCATTTTTCTGTTAATTTTCCTTCAGCATTGACTTGCATTTTTTTTTTTTATTAATTATGTATAGATTTACAAGAGAGCGAAAATTGCATATGGAGCTTTGTCAACCACATTAGGGGATCAAACATTTCTTTTTGAAAGGTGATTCTTTTGGATATCATGGTTAATATTTTGTTTTCCTTTTTCCAGGAAATTCATCAAGGATATTTTGACTTTTATATTTTTATTTCAAATTTTAAGTTTGACATTTTGAGTAAAATTTAATATTGGCTTGCTAATGATGCACTCAACTTCATTTTTCTGTTTGTGCAGGCCATCTAGTTTGGATTCATATCTCCTTGGGCATGTGCTTTTCATTCTTCAAGCATTACCTGTGAGTATACCAATTGTCTTCTGTGATCTACGTGAGCTGACTGCTGCCATATGTATTGTTGGAATGATTATTTAGAGAAAAAAAGACTTTACATTATATCATTCACCTTCTATTTTTGAATGCATGATGACAAGCATACTGAAAACATGATTAACCTGTTGGATATAACATGCGTTGGTGTTTGAGCAAGCTGATGAAAATATTTACAACAAAATGTCAGGATCTCTAACATTTTGTTACATTCACGCAGACAAAGAGCAGTTTGCATGAAAATTATGTTAGCTTAATGAAAATCTCAATAATTACATGCAGCCTTGCATAAATATCTAACAATCAAGATCCTCTAATTTCTTTTAGGAACATGACAGCAATCTGTGCTGTTATGAAACACATTACCATCAGAAAACTTGCTTGAAACCATTTTCTGTTAACATGGTTTCTACTCATTTGACTTTCACATGATTTGCTGTGGTTATTCTGTCCGTGTGATATGGTGTGGCGCCAAGCATATGAGTTTTCCTCCGTCCTTGTCAATTATTTTCACCTCTTCTTTTTCTTTTTGTGTTCCATGCCATTAGGAATCATCAGTGCTGCGAAGTGCACTCTTGGAGCATGGTAATCTCATGCGATATGCTGAAAAACTTAAGCCAGACTTCTTGGAGGCTGGATCATCTTCTTCTGTCCCACAATTCCATTCAGAGGCTTCATCAACTTCGACAAGACGTCCTTCAAATTCAAGTAAGATATTTTCCTCTTTTATAATGTATATATTATATTGGTTATCTGATAGTATTTGAGTTGTTTGCTAAATACCAAACCGGCCTATGGATCATGTTTAGACAGTTTAGTCATCAAAATAACTGTTTGTTGTTTAAGATGCTTGAAGAAAAATAAAAGCCATTCGGAAATAATGGGTCGAAAAGTATCAGCCATGTCTGTTTTTTCAAACAGAATCTCTAACTATTTGCATATGTTTTTATCACTAGGTTCAAAGACTAAGACGCAACCTAAGAGGGAAAAGACAGAAGAGGAGAAAACTTTTAGAAGAAGGGCAAAATACTTTTTAGTAACGCAGGTAGTTGCTGTTTTAGTTTTTCTCTCTGTCATGGGCGGTTATGATTTTTCCGAGGTGGAGGTTGATGATGATGAAGGCTTCGGTTATGACTGAAGAAATTAATTTTTTGACAAATCTGGATTTTCCTCGACAATTTTTGTTTTTTTATTGGGAGAAGGATAATTTCCTTTTCACCTTTCATTCTTGTATTCCATGTAAAAATATTAAAGAATAATCATCCAACACTTGAAGGTTACTGTGTGCTTGATCAACCCTTTTTAAAGCACAGTAATAGGCCAACCTTATGGTGGTTCAGACTTCAGAGAGGGAATTGTGGCCAATGTAGTTGGATTCTAATATTTGATCATTCAGAAACATAGTTTGAAATCGCAAAAACAGTTGTAAAAACGATTGTGATTATAGGTTGTGGCTTGTTAAAAAACATATCTCACATTCATAAACTAAAATAATAATAATAAAGTATATAAAGTTGAAAGAGATCATTATAGTTTTATTATGGATGAAATTGAATCTGAATTATTTAATTTAATATGGTATTTAGAGTTTCAAAGAGACCTAATGACCTAATAATGATCTAGAAATTCAAGTCATAGATTTTGAAAGATTCTACTTACTATTAAGGGTTAAGTTTTTTGAACGAGAAATAATAGTTTTTTGAATAGAATTTAATTTTAACTATCTAATTCATTATAGTAGTATGAATGCATTAGCATGTTACTAATTGATTATTTTTTTTTTCGAATAACAATCCTTATTCATCAAATAACAACAAATAATAGAGTTACATAAAAGTATGGGTATTATGCTCCCCACAATACCGCTTAATGGTAATAAACATGCCTGAATTGTTATATAACGACAGTTATGCTATATAACAATTGTTATTTTTGTTATTTAAAACTATGTTTAGAAAGACTCTTACCTTGCTGCAGGAAATAGCCCTTGCAGCAGTTGAACTTAAATCCACTCGGAAAAATATCAGCCTATGAGCATCCATTCATTCCCATTTGTTTCCTTACAATTTTGTAAATGCTGTTTCTGATTCTTGGTCTACCGTTTTTGGTGATTTTCAGTTTGTTTATTGGTTGGCTTACCTGTTTGAACATCTCCCAGAGAATCATTTAATTGGAAGTAACTGAGAGAAGCATTGTTTCTTGGTTGCAGATAGTTCAAGTTATTGGGACAAAATATGATATGACTGATAGCTTTGGATGCTAAGAAAATAGATGAAGAAGATCTGAGCTTCTGTACTTGATAGATTCAGGCAGTTTCCAATCCCAGATATATGTCTAGAGGTTTCTTGTGTTCTACTTAGGTTAGCTTGGCAACTAATGGATCAAACAACTATGTTAGCAGGAGCAGCAACTACACTACCTTTGGCATTTAGGTTATGGCATGTAATTACATCATTGACACTAGCAAAATTAGCCTCTGGGATATCCTAAATTATGTTCCAGCCCCACTGGAACTCTCGGAGCACTTGACGTTCTCCCATTGCTTAACAAGTTCTGCATATCCCTCTGCAGAACGAATAGCGAATTCAGTCAGTGAGCTCATTGCAACTGACATTCCTGCACAAAGAACCTTTATGGCAACTTCAGCCATTTTCTCTGTAGTCATTACATCTTCTACCTCACCAACCTCCACCAATTCCATACTTCTGCCTGACTCAACTGAAAACCCAGCTCCAAATCTCTTTGAACCGATTGGAACCCTGTGTGGATCGTCTCTGAGCTGCTGTGCATAGATAGACCCCATCCCAGCTGCAAAAAAGTCTAGGCCATCAAGAACTGGCATCTCCTGTATTGCATCAAGAAACCTTGACCATTGGATGCAAAGTCCAAACATTGGAAAGGTTCCACTGGTTCGACGAGGTGAGAGCGGAAGTTTTGATGTGTCAGGATCTGACCTAACACACCTGAGGAGCCAGCCGGTTAGTGCATGCATGTAGGATCGTTGAGAAGTGATCCATGCCTCGAAACAGGCTCGCCAATTCCTGAGTTCTGCCTCGAGGTTGGAAGCCGACCTGGCTAGCCGTTGAGGGTTGGCAACTGACATGGAAGAGTGTCTTTTTGCTTCCAGTTTTGAAGGTGTGCCTGCTAGTAATAGCTTGGCTTCGTCTAAAGTGCACTTCTGTGACTGATGGCATTCTGCCATTACTTTCCACATCTTCGCTAACCTGTGGAACACGAAAAGAGAAATTGAGTCAGATTGTATCTAAGTCAGGTTTTAAGCACTTTTCACTTCTAGGCGGATTGGAATGCTTTTTCGTTGTCTGCAAAAACAATCTGAGCAATAGAGGTGTTATACCCTTGTACCAATTCCAAAAGTTGAGGCTGCAGTTCTTCATCCCTTAAAGTTTCTATTCTCTTTGACACAGCTTCAACTGAATGTATTGAAACCTTTATCTGAGTATGCAGATCCCTAATGGCTGCTCTTGTTTTATCCAGAACAGAGGGGTCGTCTCCTTTGACATCTTGGTTCCTGAGTTGCGTACACTTCTTCTCGTATGCGATTCGAACCTTTTCTCCACACTGATTAAGAAGGTAACAGATGGAAATATCAGTTGCAGATTAGTAATATAATTAGTAATCAGTATGATCAACCATTTTAATGTCCCTTTGTCCAGCAACTAAATGTCCCATACTAAACATATCTAATAACTTCAACGAAATTATAAGCTAGAAAAACTAGGGCATCAGAATGCATCATTCAAAAAGTTATGCAGGAGATTTGAGATTTACCCTAACTTCTTGGTAGAGTTTCTTTTCCCAGGCATATAATCTGTCCAATGTTGATTGGTGACTACCTGACAACATGCAAGATTCCTCTGAGAAGTCACTACTGCTATCACAATCTTCATCTTTAGAGCTTGAAGAATTGATCATAAATCTTGATGATGATGACCGAGATGAAGCCGAGCGTATCAGTGCTACTGGATTCAGCATTTTCATGGCTGCAGGAGCAACAGATTTTAAGTTGATTCCTAGAGTACTTGAAACAAACACAGACCAGAAAAAAGGCTAGATTTTAATGAAGAATTCGCATCCCTATGTGCATTTTGGTGCATTTGATGGAGACTACAACTTGATAGGATAAGTTTTCAACTATTTATGTTCCAGCCATACATGGTGTCAAGGAAATGCTGATCTGGAAAATGCTTGAGATGTGATTAGGTCGGTCTTATGTTTTGAATGGAAACTGGCAAATTATGCATGAATGACATCTAATTTTAGGCAGAGTAAATAAAACCCGAGGTTTTAAGTTCTTTAACCTGTGAGTTCATTTGAAGCTGATGAGTACTGAGCTCTGCTAGACTCTAACAAGTCTGACACTTCCTTCGCTGAATTACAAACAACTGTGAACTGATCTTCAAGATCCTTGATGACTTCTGCCATGCTCGTTGGCCTTCGGTTTACATAGACAGTAAAACCTGGTGTTTCTGCCTTGGCTTCACCGTTACCAACTTGCATTTCTTGATTGCGAACCTCAACCTGTCCGGAATTTTGAGATCGTGATAGCTCTATCTTCACACTACCTTGTGATTGCAATCCTGGCTGTGACCCTGGCACTTCATGTTCACATTCACATTCACTATCAGTTTCATCATCATCCTCATCATCATCCTCGTCCTCATCAACATCCTCAACAAGGACTTCTTCTCTTGTGTTATTGGCATCAACCTTAGCTCGTTCTTCTGCTACATTTGCTTTGTTATCTGAATCTTCTTGTTCAGTTTCGTCTTCCAGGTCAGGAATCCCTTCTTCTTCTCGAACCTGCCTTAGTCCTCTGATATCATCATCCATAACCATCTGATCAAGGCTACTGCGATTGGGATAACCATAGTAGTCTAATGATGAAAATGGGTTCCAAAAGCCATCCCACTGAGAAGTTTGAGGTGATGGTGGAGGAATGTTGGGCCTATTATTGGGAGAATAAGAGAAGAATGAAGAATACATAGGCGTGGATTGCATTGCGAAGAATCCATCAACACCATAATCATGCATTGGAGAGTAAGTTTCGACTCGGAATGTTTCCGGAGATTGAGGTCTCTCCTCAACTGAAACTGATTGGTTCCCCCTGACCTCAAATAATTTACTTTAAAAGTAGAAGTAGGTCCAGATTGGATAGGAGCTGCAGAGAAGGATTTCGGTGAAATTGAGATGAAACCAGGACTAGTTTTCTTTACAGGCGTAAAAGGTGGTGTTATAAACGAATCTAACAAGAACTCTCTGGGCTCATCTCCTTCAACATAATCACGAAGAGCTGCCGAAACTCTTTTCAAGGACTGGATATAAGCTAAGTGTCCTGAGGCAAATCTTGTTCTTTGCTCTACAGCCTGCTTAATGAATCGTTTTCGATCTTTACAAAGCTGAACTGCCTCTTCATCATCAAGCTTTGATGTAGTACATCCCATTTCTATCTTTATCTTCCCTTTGCCTGCCCCCACTCTATGAAGTTTTCAGGCTTGAATCAAAACCGAAATCACAATAGTATCTCCTCTTATATCTCACCAGATTCATATGGATTTTCCCTAGCTGTTCAACAAAATCAAAATTTAATTAATTAATCAATAACTATAAATCCACAACAAGAAACATGAAGCAATTGGAAAAGAATCTCCTAATAAATAAGACACCTTCGTTTCTTCATTTTTCTTCATTCACAAACAATGATAAAAGAAAACAAAACTAATTTTCAAAAAAAGTTGTCTGTGCTTTTCTTTATTTTCAAGTTATTGAACATTTTCTAACTTACATAACAGAACAAATAAATTGAGATTCTTTTGAGCTTAGAGGTGAATAATCATAAGCAACAACAATCTCAACAGTAAAATAAATTTAAAGAAAAGAAAAGAAAATACATACACTTTGTTTAAAGGATCATGTGCAAAAAACAGTCCATTGAACCCCAAAAGCAAGAATAATTTCCTAAAACTTGGAGGTGAATAATCATAAGCTAGGGAAAAACATGGCTAGCGGACAAGAAGAAGAAAAATATGAGACAAAAAGGAGTACTACTGAATAAAGAGAGGTCTAAATGATTAAAAAGAGAGTCATACTGATGATTTTCAGTTACGAGGTACAATAAGTAAGAAAATGACACAAGAAAAGAAGATAAAGGTTTAAAGTAAAGAAGAACAAAAAAAGACACCATTGTTGACTGATCACATGGTGAAACCTGCAAATGTTGTAAGCAAAAACTAGAAAGAAATTAATGAAGATATTAAATAATGGTGGTGGCCCTTTTTACAGTGATAAAAGCAGAACTTATCAGCTGGAAGAAAAATAAAGAAAAAAGCTGTAAAATGCATAGCTGATGAGCATAAAAAATGGAGTAAAAAGATGAAATCTTTGTTAGAATATAAACATGAAGAGTGTGGAAAGAAATTAAATTTGAAGAGAAAATAAAAACCCATTGGAAAATTTTGCTAAAATAATTAATTCATTACCCCAAATAATTGGTTGCACATAAAAGAAAATTTATATTCTGTGTAGTAAAAAAAAAAAAAAAATCCAGCGACAAACTGAGTTTCATAAACAAAATGAAAAAGTAGTAATGAGCACATTTTTTTAAAAGTCCATTTAAAGGGAAAAAAAACTTCAAGTTTTGTAAAAGAAGAAAAAACAAAGAAATGAACAGAGAATTCTGAAAAAACCCATTTCAGGATTTTGAATAGAAGAAAGAAAAATAAACACAGTCATGCTAGAGGCTATGCATACATAGAACATAAAGAAGAAGAAGAAGAAGCTGAAAAAAATGGGAAGAAGAACTCCATGATCACTGTAAGATGACGAACAAAAGTAACGTGAAAATGGGCAACAATGAAGAAACATACCTGAGAAGTGCAGTTACTGTGGGCAGAAGTAGAAGAGAAGAGAAGAATGGGAGAGCTGTTGCTGTTGGTCACTGTTCTTTCGGAGAGAGGGGAGAGAGACGTTGAGAAAAGCAACGGTCAAAACTCAAATTAATGAAGGAAAAGAGAAACAAAAAAACATTAAAACATGAAAAAATAAAATAAAGTCATGAGGTTGGAGAACTAAAACAAAAGTAGACAACATGAGAATCGGATGAAAGGAAGCTTACATACATTGAGTATGACACTTTTTTGTAATTGCCCTTTGTTTCACACTTTATTTCACAAATGCCACTTGGTTTTCTCCAGTAAAAAAAAAATTTAAGAAGAGAAAATCCAAATTGCAATGTGGAAAGAATTTTTCTTCTTCGTTTTTTAATTATATGTAAAGTGAATGAATTCAATTTATCATTAAACAAGAATCTTATTTATTCCAATTAAAGTGTATTAAAAAAACTAATTAATGGCATAAAGGTATTAGATGATGGTCTATAAGATTTGAAGATCTTTTTTAAATGTAAAATATTTGAATTTACAATAAAAATAGCTAAATTTAAGTTAGTTATTAATTGAAAACTTAAAATAAATAAACTATAAGAAATAATTATCTTTATAGAATATATTCTTTTGATAATTTTTTTAACCTATAAAATTAATTAAGGTGAACTCCCACAAACTATTCTAGATTTTATAAGGTGCAAATGACTATTTTATGATGGATTTTCAAATTATAATTTAGATTTGGGTTTGAAGTAAGTATGTTTGGATTTTATGCACGTCTTAAATGAGAAAAAATAAAATAAAAATAGCATGATAAACTTAAGTTGACATTATGATTAAAAAAAAAAAAAAATTTCTATGCGGAATGCAACGTACAACAAATAAGTTAGATGAACAACTTAACTTAAAAATAACAAGATATTTATTACAATTAAATATAAAGGATGGTCAATTCTTTCTTCTTTGCCTAAATTGTAAAATATTCTATGAATTTCAGCCAAAAAAAAAAAAAAACCTATAAACTAAAAAATGTCTAATTTTACTTCCTAAACAATATGATTTTTAAAATTTATCCTTTTATTAGTATTCCTTTGAAAAATTGATGAGAAAAATCCATAAAAATCCTATCTATTCTTCTATTTTCTCTACCGATTTAAGAAAATATGTTTACTAACAGATAAAATACAGGAATTAAAAGGATTTTTAAAAGTATTTTTGATAATTTCTCAATAAAATTCTATAAAAGAAACAAATTCAATCAAGAATTTTTTAGTTTAGATAATATTTTACAATCTAACCTTATTCTTTAATAAATGTCATTCTCTTTTGTCTTGAAGGGCAAGACTAAAGTGTCCAACCCAAAAACTAACCGTAACCTACTTCAAGCAAAGTTGAAGAAGAAGCACTTCTTTTGCCAACAATCTAGAACTTGCAAGATGCCAACTGTTTTCGAATTCTGACCTCTTCTCATCTATTTCCTATGATCTTGTACCAGCAAAAATATGTCCATTTCTTACCAATATGGACCCAACAAATTAACATCAACTCTCTAATTTCATGATCAAATTCCCATTAGTCCTCTGATCATTTCTGATCAAGAGACAAAACTTGCAGCTTTTGGGTCTGAGTGGGACCCATGTTTTCTGAGTCTGATTCTTTGTACTGTGTACCATGGCTTGTTGGCTTGTGTCTTGTTTCAGATTTTGTTTGTGGTTTGTACTTGAAAATAATGGAGTAGAGTCCAGGACAAGGTAAGGATATTTTTGTAATATTTTTGTAATTTGGGGATTAGTTTTTGTTAGGAGAAAAGAGGGAATTTTGAAAAGCAAAAAAGAAAGTCGGCTCCAAAGCAAAAGGTGAGGGAACCTGTCCCTACTGTAAAGACTACTGGGGATGCCTCGATAACGGTTTCTTTTGAAAATGCCCCTCTCTTCCCACCTAAATATCAACAATGGCCTCCAATTATTTCCAAAAGATTAGTGCTTTTCCTAAAATAAATTAAATAATTGAACAAATACTATATATATAACTCAAAAATTGACCGCATTTCAACCAATTTGTATTAGTCCAAAAAAAATTTATATTTAATGAAAAATCTTATAAAGTCGTCTTTTTTTATTGAATGGAGAATTCTTTTGGTAAAATATGCTAAGTACCCAAATACAATTAGAGTTCTTAAGCCATCCAAGATTTTTTTTAACCCAATTTTTTTTTATGTTTAATGATAAATCTTATAAAGTCATTTTTTTTCATTGAATGAAGAATTCTTTCAATAAACAAACACCAATTTTCTATTAATATAAAGGGTTCGAATTTCTCGAATCCTATTTATTGAAAGAAGTTAAAATCTTATAGTTTTCATTTAGAACATGATTAATCTATCTACAATATGAGATGAAGATATCTAAGGTAAAAAAAAAAATTCTCTTAGTAAACTATAATAAGTAATAAAATAACAATTAAAATTCTTAAGTCATTCAAGACTCGCTTTTAGCCCAAACTTTTTTTATAGTTAATGACAAATCTTACAAAACTATGTTTTTAAATGAAGAATTATTTTGGCGAAACTTGCATAAGCTCACACCTCACTATCTACCAAATCCAAACTTGCATAAGCTCACACCTCACTATCTACCAAATCCAAATTATTTACGGGATCAATTACGAGAAATTTTATAATGCATAATGAGTAATTAGTGGTATGTACAATAGTTACTCATTGGGTCCACTTTAAAGAGAGAAGTAGATACACAAAAAGAGAGAAAAAAATAAGAGAGAAAAAATAAAAAAATTTGAACAGATGTGGAAATTTTCTTGTCACTTTTGATAAGTATGGATGTAATTTCTCTCTCTTTTTGTGTGTCTATTTTTCTCTTCAAAGTGAATCCAATGAGTAACTACTATACATACCACTAGTTACTCATTGTGTATTATAAAATTTTCCGATCAATTACAAGTAATTGTGTAGAAATAGAATACTTGAAAGGATAACCTTGAATACTTTAGAAATACTTGTAGGAAATACTATTTAGATCACAATTAGTTGCAAAATTTCCTAGAAGAGTAAAAGTAATTTTAGCACTGAGAAAAATTATTTTAAATAATTTCAATGAAGATACGGAATATATTCCTTGCTGACCGCCAGGACACGAGGAATAATATCGGCATTAATGGATGCAGATTACAGAAGATGGTCACCGTGTAATGACAATTGCAGCCTTTTTTCTTCGAGGTTCTCTGACAATGGCAGCATGCGACTCCAACCTAGGATTCTACCCTTCTTTATTATAAACCTAATCTTCCCTCTCCTTACAACAAGATCTTTAAGCATAATTTACTCTTCAATTATATACTATAAGATTCAATAACATTTCTCTATTCTTAAATGCAAATGGATAATTTTAATAATTCCAACTTGATTTAATGGTCCAACTGTTCATGAAGCTTCGTAGGTTGTTTTTCTGGTGAGACTTGGACCTAACTTCTAATTTTTAAATCACTGTTAGATTAAAAAAAAAATTAAAAAAATTATGTGTCAGTATCTGGGGTAATATCTATGG